GGATTTCGGAGGAATCAAAGAATATGGGTGGAATTAGGTCAAATATTAGTCATAATTATATCGAATAATGGAGCAGGGTAGAAGGAACGTATTTTATATTTTTCCCTAAACTAACATCACTGAATGGACTGTCTAGTCATGATCACATTGCTGTTTATAGGAGCTTGCAACATGCAAATTGGCAACGTAAGTGACCATGCTTTGAAAGTACTTAAATAAAAACAGAAATTGCTAGAGAAACTCAGCAAGTCTGTCAGCATCTGTGGCGAGAAAGCAGAGTTAATGTTTTGAGTCCAGTGACCCTCCTCTTGTTTATTTTGTTTGAAAGTACTTCTTTGGTTATTAAATGTACTGGGATATCATGAGGTTGTGAATAAGCAAGTTTATTAGGTTAATGAACTGCAGTGGTTCAAGAAAGCAACTCACCGCCACCTTCTCAAGGGCGACTAGGGATGGGCAATAAATGCTGGCCCAGCTAGCGACACCCTCATCCCACAAATGAATATATTTTTTTTTAAATTAGCCCTAAACAACTCCTCAGACACAGTTGAATCCTAACTCGCTGATTATTTTCTCTTGTGCTTAATTCTAAAGTGTTTGCCTAAAACGGTCACTTTATTTGACTCCAGGCTTACCCTGGGCCTTTAATCATAATGCTTGGTCAGCTGTTGAGGTTTAGTCTGATTTACTGTGAGTCAGATTTGAACATTATTATGGATTAAAATTACCTCCAGGTCCTGGGAAAGTGCCACGGAGCAAATCAGTCAGGAATCCCACTTCCAAGCGTCAACCTCCCAGCATCTTGGTCAAGATGTGAGCAGGCTCGTCCATGGTATCGTAGGGAGTGGGTTAATCAGACTGATTTCAATGGCCATTTTTCCAAAGTGCTTCTTCAGCTGAAAAATGCTTTGGAGCATCGAGAGACTGTGAATGCATTATATTAATGCAGTAAAAACAGAAAGCACTGAAACACTGAGCAGGCCTGGCAGCAACCACAGAGACAGAAATAAAGTTAACACTTTACATCAATGAACAACATCGGAACTCATTGCATCGTTTCGACAGATAAAGTTTGATGAAACAAGGTGGGAAGAGAACTGTAGGACAAAAACCTGCTGGTTCAAATGGTCTTATTCTGTGCTGTTCTAAGTAAGTTTGTGCAATACTGCCAATGATTTTTTTTCCTTATATTAGTGTTAACTTCTGACCTATCCTCGCTAAGTAGTTGATTCTTAAATTTATGCTATTTTAAAATAGTTAAAAATCTACTGAAATTCTACATTTGTAACCAACTGCCGAATGACAAAGGTTAATAGGTGACACAGGTAGGAAAAGGTTGTTAACTTTATTTGCAAGCACGGGACAGGCCTTCACTTGTTTTCTACCAAAGCAAGAAAGAAAGATTTATTTCATTAGAGGAGAGGCCTTAAAACCTTACTTAAGATAAACACCTGCTTGAGAAATGCAACAGTATGGAGTTGGAAAGTCAGCATGTCTGATTGTTGAAGTCAAGTAAGGGGAGTTAAAGATAAAGGTGGTTTGAAGGTTAAATTAAAACAGAAAAAATGCTGGAAAACCTCAGCAGGACCATCAGCATCTGCAAAGAGAGAGAGAATGCTTCAGGTCTGTGACTTTTCATCACAACGTCACCACATCCACAAGCATTCACTCCCTTCACCACCAACGCTCAGTTGCAGCAGTGTGTACTACCTACAAGATGCACTGCAGAAATTCAGCCAAGATCCTCAGACCAGCACCTTTCAAACCCACAATCATCCTAAGGCAACAAAATACATGGCGGCACCACCACCTTCAAGTTCCCCTCCAAGCCACTCACCATCCTAACCTAGAAATTTATCACCGTTCCTTCACAGTCGCTGGGCCCCAAAATCCTGGAATTCCCTCCCTGAGAGCATTGTCGATCAATCTCCAGCACGTGGACTGCAGCGGTTGAAGAAGGTAGCTCACCAACACCTTCTCAAGAGGCAGCTAGAGATGGGCAAGAAATGGTGTGTCATAAAATTTGGAGTTGCAAGGACAGAATCTCATTAAATCAGCGTTGAATTCATTAAAAGAGTATTGGAGGTGAATGGAATAAAACAATCTCCTCTGGTGTGGATTCCAGAACGAAGGAGCACAGTCTTAAAGTTAGACCAAGGCCAATCAGGGTTGATGTCAGCAGACACTCCTTCATACAAAGTGGAGTGGAAATCTGGAATCCACCCCCCCAAAAAAAAAGCTGTAGAGGCTGGGGGACAATTGAAGGTTTCAGAAACAAAAACAGAAAGTGCTGGTAACAGTTATTCAAGACGGGAGCAATCAAGATAAACCAGGAAACTACAGGCCAGTCATTCTAATCTCAGTGGTGGGGAAAGCATTGGAAGCAATTCTGAGGGACAGAATTAATATGTCTGGAATCAATCAAGATCAGTCAGCATGGTTTTGTTAAGGGGAGGTCAGGTTTGACCAACTTGATCGAATTTTTCAAACAGAAAACCAAATGTGTAGATGAGGGCAGTACATTTGACATGGTTTACTTGGACATCATCAAGGCTTTTAGTAAGGTCCCGCATGGGAGACCGATAGTGAAGGTAAGAGCAGGTGGGATCCAAGGAAATTGGATGCAGAATTGGCTGAGGGCAGGAAGCAGAGGGTGATGGTCGAGGGGATGTTTTTGTCCAGTATGAGTCTTCAGGGAGCCAGATTTGACTCAAATTATTAGTTCTATTTCTCTCACCACAGATACAACCTGACCTCATGAGTTTCGCCAGCTTTTGCTGTTTCTACTTCAGATCTCCAGCACCTTCAGTTCTTTGCTTTTATTTGAAGATTTAGTTAAGTTGAATAGATTTTCACTGGACAGAAGAATTCAGGGTTACAGGTCTGAAGTAGAAAATAGGATCGAGATACAGATTATCCATGAGCTAATTAAATCATAGATCCAATTATAGAATCCCTACAGTGTGGAAACAGGCCCTTCGGTCCGACAAGACCACACCAACCCTCAGAGCACCCACCCAAACCCATCCCCCTATAACACTGAACACAATGGGCAATTTAGCATGACCAATCCACCTAGCCCGCACATCTTTGGACTGTGGAAGAAAACCGGAGCACCCGGAGGAAACCCACGCAGACACGGGGGGAATGTGCAAACCCCACACAGATGGTGACCTGAGGGTGAAATTGAACCCGGGTCCCTGGCGCTGTGAGGCAGCAGTGCTAACCACTATGCGGTGGGACAATTTCAAGGGGCTGAATAGCTTCCTTCTTATCCCAATATCCAATGAATGATATATGATGAAAGACACTTCTCAACATAATGACGCAGCTTAGAAACATGCAAATTGTCAGAACTAAAGATGTCTAAAGAAAATAGATTTTGGAACAGAAAAGCAGGGTGATTTGATTAAAGTGATCAAGTTGTATGTTGAGTTTGGAATTGTAAATGTTTTTGATTCTTCAGCTAAAGCTCATATGGTTTTGTCATAAACACTGTTGTTAGTGTGTGTTTGATTATTGTACACTTAATATATCTGTGACATGTGCAATTGATTTGGGTTTTTGTGTCTTGGGATTTGGGATTTGGATCTTTTTCCCAGGTTAGGGGAGTCTGAAACTAGAGAGCATAGATTTAAGGTGACAAGGGAAAGGTTTAAAAGGGTCCTGAGGGGCAACTTTTTCACGCAGAGGGTGGTGTGTGTATGGAATGAGCTGCTAGAGGAGGTGGTAGAGGCTGGTACAATTACAATGATTTAAAAGGCATCTCGATGGGTACATGAATAGGAAGGATTTAGAGGGATATGGGCCATATGCTGGCAAATTGGATGATTAATTTAGGATATCTGGTCAGCACAGACGAGTTAGGCTGAAGGGTCTGTTTCCATGCTGTGCATCACTATTTGAGGGGAAAATAATTGTAAAAAGACATGCATACACACACACTAACAAATTATACCAGTTAGAGTCCGAAAAGGTTGAATTTCTAAGAAGTGGGCTGACTGAGGTCTTTAAAATTATGAATGGGTTTGATAGGGGTGATGTACAGTAAATGACTCCACTTATTGGGGAAGCCTAAACTAAAGTCATAAACATAAGACAGACACTAATAAATCCAATATGGAATTCAGAAGAATATAGAACTCATTACTGGAGTAGTTGAGTTGAATGGCAAGGATGCATTTAAATGGAATCTGGAGAAGTACTGCATTAGGGAGATTGGATTGTGATCAGGGTGGAAACCTCTATCAGTTTTTGATACATTCTGGCCTCTCTACAACTCCCCTTCAGGATGATGGGGCCAATTGAAGCTCCTTCACTAAGGTTACACAAAATGCATAGCATAGAAACAGACCATTCTTTATGCAGTATTTATGTTCAATATGGGTCTCTTCCCACCCTGTTTCACTTAATGCTTATCAGTACATCCTTTTCCTTTCTCCCTAATGCACTTCTCCAAATTCCATTTAAATGCATCTTTGCTATTCACCTCAACTACTCCAGGAATGAGTTCCAACATTCTGCATACAGAAGTTCCTCCTGAATTCCATATTGGATTTATTAGTGACTGTCTTATGTTTTTGACTTTAGTTTAGGCTTCCCCAATAAGTGGAATCATTTACTGTATATTAAACCCATTCACAATTTTAAAGACCTCAGTCAGCCCATTCCTTAGCCTTCTTAAAAAGCCTCAACCCTTTGGGTTTTCCCAGTTGGTACAATCTCTTATTTGTGTGGGTATCATCCTTGTAAATCTCGTTGCACCTTTTCCAGTGTCTCCATACCATTTTTACTCTAATTCAGAATTGTGCAGAATTCTCAGAGTGAGAGATCAGCTAACACAGTACACAATGAGAATTTAATTAGCGTGACCGATTCCTGGGCTGAATGATTGCAAGCTTCTTTGAGAATTTCCAGAAATAGTATTATTTGGCGGCCATACAATGGCATTGGTAAATTCAGTACCCAGTTTAACACCTCTCTCTGTCTCTCCTATCCAGGCGAAGACAGCCAATCTGGTTCATCCACTGAGGGGACAGATCCCGGACTCCAGCCAATTGGAGTCCGGACCTCGTTTGCTTACTGCTCAGACTGGGATCTGCCTGGCTTAACCCAGACCAAGCCCTGACCAACCCAGGATTGCGTGTCAGCCCAAAATAGAGTTTATCCTATTGATGGCCTGGACCAAGGAATGTTAATCTTCTCCTGATGATGTTGGGACTGGGACTGCTCCATGAATGGATAGGCATTTTGGAACAGGAAGGCATTATGGACTTGGACATCATGACCCTTGAATTATTAGTTTGGGAATTCATAGACTGATGGCACAGAGTGTGGAAACTGAAAGCTGTGTGTCCCAGTCAAATATGGAAATGAAGGGAATAAAGCAAGGAAACATCACCAAAGAACTGAGAAGAATTGTTGATAACCTGACTTAAGGGCCATCATCCGGCTGAGTTTTATCAAAGGTTCAGATCATTTGGAGTCAGGGTGTGCAGCTTAAACCAACCTCTAACAAGACAGGAACCCTAAAAGCTCAAAATGCACCATGACTGAGATTTGGAAGGCCCCAAGCTGGATTCCCAGACTGCCTAGGGGCACCAATAGGGCTGCTACATTTGGCTTCACAGCTTTTAAGATCGCAGAGGGCAAACTATCCAGCCAGAGCTTTCTGATCACAGTTCAGTAATCCCCGCTGGAAATAGCAGTTTAGGATGGGCCATTTTCTGAGAAGCTCATGATGGAATAACCTGGGGTGGCGGGCGGTCTCTGTATTCATTTTGATCAAACAGGTGGGGTGATGTGAGGGATAAGGAGGTTGAGGAGTCAGAGAGGGTGAGGCAATGCTTGTTGGGTAGGTGGGTAGTGGAGGAATCACACTTAGAGGTGGGGGGGGGTTTGTGGTGGGCAGGGATGGAAACATTGACAGCATCCAATGTTTGAAGGAAGAGTTAGAAACAGCATTGCTGATCGTCCTATCTCCACAATGAGGTAAGTCAAGTGAGTTTGAATTAACCCTATGAAAGAGGGTGTGGGCAGACACAACCAGGAGCAACCTATTTCGGGACCACAGGGTTAACTGGCAAACCCTGACAACTATGTCTGCATCTCCTATGGTACAAAAAAATTCTATCAGGCCCCTGGATTCAGGGGCAGGGCTGACCAGCAAGACAAGCAGCCAACTTTTTATATAGCATGAATTAGAGTCAACCCTTTTGAACTTTTTGCATGCCCCCTTTACAGCTGTAAAATCACCTCTATCACAAATGAGCAATTTAATACAGAGAGGGACCGAGGGGCTCTCCAACATGAGTTACTGAAAATGAGCTAGAACTGAGTCCTGACAGCAGGCCTCGAGAGTCGGGAATTTTGATTCAACCTCTCTTTCAGCTGCTGAAGACAACGGGAAGCCATGTAGCAATATCTGTGTCTCCATCACAACATGCAACGTCAAGAGTGATACTGGCCAGGAACAGTTTGGGCTTTGCTCCTGGCCTGTGATTCAGTGGTTGCTCCTGGATGTTTCATCGCACCACCTTCCACCTACGCAAACACAGTCTGATCAAACTAGCCTTTTTGCCCCATCTTCAGTCTCACATATCTAAGAAACACATTATGGAACAGAAGGAGCTTTGGAGCGATCATCATTTTCCAGGATCAACTTGAGGATTTGGCAACTCTAATCCAAGGTAACACATTGTCCCTGCTCCTTGTTATCCTGCTCAGGTGCCTAGAGGGTAAATACTCGCAAACTTGTCTCTGATTCCCACTTGTCATGCCTTGGATGCAGCAACGTGTGTCTAATTGGCATGATGGATCGGTGATATCCCATGACTAGTGTTTTCAGCCAAGACATGCCAATAAAAAGTTATGTTAAAGCAAGTGTGTTGTATAATTTAATTGGCTGTGCATTGTACATAACATTGGGAAATTCTATTCACAGAAGTTTTGTACAAAGCGTTCACAACAGGAGGTATTGTGGTGGTGTTCACACAGACCCAGGAGTCAATGTTCACATTGTGCTTGTACACACAGAACTGGGAATCAATGTTCACTCTGTACGTGTACACAGAACCAGGAGTCAGTGTTCACACTGTGTGTGTACACAGAACAGGGAGTCATTGTTCACACTGTTCGTGTACACAGAACCAGGAATCAATGTTCACACTGTGCATGTACACAGAACCAGGAGTCAATGTTCACACTGTGCATGTACACAGAACCGGGAATCAATGTTCGTACTGTGCGAGCACAGACCTGGGAGTCTGTGTTTACAAGGTGTGTGTACAGACCCTAGAGCCAGCTTTTACACAGTATATGTACACATGGTGCATGTATACAGAGTTGAGAGTTAGTGTTTAGACTGTATGTATGCACATATAGACCTGTATTTACAAAGGGTGTACATATGTATATATAGGGAATCACTGTTAACTGTGTGTATGTATATGTGTGTGTGTTATGTGTGAGAGAGTTCTGTTTCTGCTTCTGACTTGCCGTTGAATTAATAACTGCAGTCAGGAGGGTCCAGGTTCAAATCCCACCTGACCCGGTGGTTTGTCATAACATGCCTGAACAAGTTCATTAAAAGAAAAACTTTTAAATCAGCCGTTTCTGTCCTGGGGCTCAGAACCCCTTCTTAGCCGATTCCCCTACTGATGTCATCAACACCCATTGCTGAATAGCTAGTCTAGATTGGACAAATAATTATTAAAGTCAGTCTCAGTCTGAGATATTGGAGCCATGTACAACAGAATCTGTGTTACATACTGTCCTGAATCTGCTTCAAATTCCCTCAGCACTTAAGCAGCAAGAATCATACAGCATCACACACCACAGTGCTTTAACCCTGGCCTCCACCTCAATATTGAAGGTCAGTCTGTACATCTGTTTTATTGATGCCCTACTGAGCAGTACAGACCACAAAGGTGCCAGGGTTAAATCTTGTGCTCAGTTAGCTGGTCACCAGCTGATGTGGGAATAATGATGCTCTCAATATCTCTGGGCTGATGTTGGGATAAGAATAGTGTAGGGTTTGGGGATAAGTGAATTAACCAGAGTTCCTTCTCCCAATCTCTATGTAACAGCCAGTTCCATGGGTTGCTGATCCATGGGCAGTGGTTAAGCACAGTGCTGTAATCCATGGTGCAGTTACCTACCCGAGTTCATGTCTGAAAGATGGGCAGTAGGCAGCAGAGACTTGCTCGCTTCCTGCAAGTGTGACAGTCAGTCCTTGTAGGAGAATATTGGGAATGGTTGGCACACGTTCCTGCACTTGTCTCATTTTGTAGACATTGGCATGGCAGGAAGAAGACATCAGCTGTGACCCTTGCAAATGCTTTAAGCGAAAGATGTGCACACTGTGGGGTACAGCCTCGTGTCGTATCCTGTGCTGAGCGTCCTAAGGCACCATTTTCCAGGTGAGTTGTTCAAATGGCTCCCTATTTGTCTTTTCAGGTGGAAATCCAAAATTCCATGGGGAGGCAATGGACTAGCAGCATTATCACTGGACTGTTAACGCAGAGACTCGGGTAGTGTTCTGGAGACCTGGGTTTGAATCCCGCCACGGCCGATGGAATTTCAATTTAATAAAAATCTGGAATTAAGAGTTTAATGATGACCGTAAATCCATGGTTGATTGCGGCACCGTAGCTAAGTGGTTAGCACTGCTGCCTCGGGTTCGATTTTACCCTCGGGCGACTCTGTGTAGAGTTTACACTTTCTCCCCATGACTTTGTGGGTTTCCTCCAGGTGCTCCAGTTTTCTCCCACATTCCAAAGATGTGCAAGTTAGGTGGATTGGCCATGCTAAATTGTCTGTAGCGTCCAGGAATGTGCAGGCCAGGTGTGAATTAGCCATGGGAAATGCAGGGTCCCAGGGATGGGGTAATGGGAGTGGTTGGGTGGGATGCTGTTCAGAGGGCTGGTGTGGACTCGATGGGCCGAATGGCCTGCTTCCACTCGTGAATATTTAAAGAAGATAAGGGCCATTTTCCTGGAGTCCTGGCTAGTGTCTTATCCTCAAACAACATCATTGAAATAGATCACCTGTTTGGATGTTGCTGTGGGCAAATTGGCTCCCTGATTACAATGCATCAAAGTGTTTCATTGGCTAAAATGTTTGGAATCCAAAATATAAATGCAAACTTTTTTCTTTCTGCAGAACAAGCCAATTGTGACTGGTTGTGTACCATACTCCTCCTCCTTCAATCCATCATTGACCATAGCCTGGAATGTCATGTCCTCCTTGTGCCCCCAGTACTCTCTATATCTCCATTGACTATACATCTCCAATCTCCTCTGTTCACTTCCATGTCCTTGAAAATCCCTCACCTCCTAAAACCCTCTTAGGGAATTCCGTGCTGGAACCCCTACAAATGGCTTTTCCACCTATCACCAAAATGACTTTTGTCAGACTCACAAATAACATGCTGTGTAACTGTGACAAAAGTTAACTATCCTTCCTCGTCCTTCTTGACCTGTCTGCAGGCTTTGACACAGTTGAGCATACTCCAGTGCTTCTAACCTGTCAGCCCACTGAGTGAGCCTACACACTCCTGTTTCCATTCATCTAGTAGCCAAAGAATCACCTCCAGTCATTTGTCTTCCTACCCCTACACATAATTCCAAGGATCTACCCTTGTTCCCCTTCTATTACTCAATAGAACATGCTGCCCTTACCAAAATACACCCCCATTTCCAAGTGTATTTTGACCAACTGATAATTCTACCTCGCTGCCTGCTTTCTTGACCCTTCCCCTGTCCCCAAACTGTTTCACCAATGCCCAGTTCTGGGTGATTTCCTCTAGCGAAAGCTATTGTCTTCCGTCCTTATGGCAAACACTGCTCCCTAGCCTTTAACCCCACCGTTCTCACTGGCAGCTGGTAGCATCTGAACCGGAGTGTTTGCGTACTTGATGTCAAGTTACTGAAGGCCACCTATTTTCATCTTTGTAACAGTGTCCTGCTCAATGCTTACCTCATTCAGCTCATCTGCCAATGAAACATTCATCCATGCCTTTGTTAACTGTGCACTCAACCATTCTAATGCTCTCCTGGCTGACTTTCAACGTTCTATCCTCCATTAACTTGAGGTCTGCTGCCCATATCCCGACTCAGCCGCTAGTCCAGGTCAACTCTCACCCCGTGCCCTCACAGGCCTTTTTGAAACTCTCATCCTCACTTTCAGATTCCTCCATGGCTTCACCCCTCTATCTCCAACCCTGCAAAAGTTCAGGGTATCTACACTCTTCCGATTCCAGTGTTCTTCACATCCCCAATTTCAATTGCCCTAGTGCCAGGTTTTGGGTTGTGATGCTCCTGTGAAGTATCTTAAGGTGTGTTTAGAATGTTCGAAAGGTGATACGTAAATGAAGCTGTTGCAAAATGTTGCATCACCTGCAATGGTAAAGGAAGCACAGCTGGTTTGTTCTCATCTACCACAACCTTCTAACTCACAACTGATGCATTCCTCTTAGTCATTGACGAGCAGACATCAAACAATGTTTCCTTTAACAAAAGCAGAAGCTGCTGGGAAAAGCTCAGCAGGTCTGGCAGCATCTGTGAAGAGAGAATGTTTCAGGTCACGTGACTCTTCCTCAATGTTCCCTTTAAGGCCATAAGACATAGGAGCAGAAATTAGGCCATTCAGTCTGTTGAGCACTGTGCCATCCAATCATGGCTGATAAATTCCCTCAACCCCATAACCCTTGACAATCAGGAACCTATCTATTGCCACGTTAAGATGAGCAGGCACCCAAGAGCCCCCATGTATAGAATCCATACAGTGCAGGAGCAGGCCTATCAACAAATCCACACTGACCCTCCAAAGAGTATCCCACACAGACTGACCCTGACCCCCTCCCCTCTTCGCCCTGCATTTCCCATGGTCAATCCACCTAACCTGCACATCATTGGACTGTTTGGGGGTTGAGGTGGGGGGAGGCTGCCACAGTACCCAGAGGGAACCCATGCAAATACAGGGAGAACATGCAAACCCCACACGGTTACCTGAGGATGGGATTGAACCTGGGTACCTGGCACCTTTAGGCAGCAGTGCTAACCAATGAGCTACCATGCTGTCACACAAGTCAAGAACAGGTTAGCCCTTGTAGCTTGCCTGGCATGTTGGTCGTGCAAAAAGATTATAAAGAGGTAGGCACTTATATCAATCACTCGCGCAGAGTAAAAATAAAGTTAAAAGGTGTGTTGCTTTCAAGTCCACTCTCAAAGGTTGGGTCAAAATGGACCGACTAACAGAATGGCTTTAAATTATTCAGAGTCCTGTGTCAGCCAGTATTTCAGTCAACATGCTACTGGCCAGCAGAGGGAGCTCACTGGTCAGCTATGCCTCAGGTCAGGACACTGAAGGCAAAGATCTGGAAAAGGGACCAGGGTGAGGGGGAGGAGATGATTGATACTTTGAGAATCATTTTCCCCCCACAACCCGCCCCAGCACGCACACCCAGAGGGACACATTCTCCTTCGTTCGATGCTACAGATATCCTCATGGCTTCTCTGTCTAGTGGCTAGATTTTAACCTACTTTGTGTGTTAAATCTGATGGAGACATAGCCAGTTCTGGATAGCCATATTCCTGGAGGCTCCCAGTTCTGTAACTCCCTCCCCGGTCAATCAGCCTCTGCATCCCACCCCTTGTCCCTCTCCAATTATTTCATAACTAATATCGGGATTACACTTTTATCCCAATCTCTGATTTTTTTAGTTTCTCTCCATGGTTAGGACCCGAATGTCTTAAACACTGGGAGCTTGTGACTGGGTAGAGTGCTGCCTCCTTTTCATTTATTTGTTTAGTAAAACAGATTACCGAATGAGAATTGACAGCCCCCACCCCCCCATAGGGAACTGGAACAAAAGTCAAAGC